CTCCAGATGCACAGCTTCGGGAAATGTCGGCTTTTGCTCTGGGGAGATTGGCTCAGGTGATTATTACTACATTGGGCAATTTGCTGCCTAATCTTGGGCTTTAAAGGGTTTAAGCTATTATAAAGTGTATATTTTCTTTTTTATATATTTGTATATTTTAACTTTAGTTTTAATTTTAAAGATGACATAATCAAGGGCGCAATATAAACTTATTTGTAAGATTTATCACTAGCCATTTCTTTCATATTCCTTTTTGCTTTTTATGATGCTTCGTTTAGGACATACACAATCAAGCCGGTATTGCTTATAATGGTGGTATAGAGCTTCTACTCAATCTTCTTTGCTCCAAGAATGGGCCTCTCCAACATAATGCAGCCTTTGCTCTATATGGTCTTGCTGATAATGAGGTGAAGTCAGTTGCTTTCTTCTTTACTGAACCATCACTGCATCTGCATGTTCCCTTTCATAAACATCCAACTTTTTCTTAACAGGACAATGTTGCGGATATTGTTAAGGTTGGTGGTGTTCAAAAACTACAGGATGGAGATTTCAAAGTTCAAGTATGTTCACTTATTTTTCATTAACATGAAATTAATGGGTTTACATGGAACCTTTTCAGGATGATAAATTTGTTGTTTGTGAAGGTATATTGATAGAGAAATCCTTCTCTTTGGTTTATCAATATGGGTGCCTGACAAGTCTCGTGTGACTTGCAGCCTACTAAAGAGTGTGTAGGAAAGACAATGAAAAGATTAGAGGAGAAAATGCATGGACAAGTGAGTTTTTATTGCAAATTATCGATTTCTTTTGTTTGTTTAAATTAAAGATGCATATTTTATTATAATCTAGCTTTTATTTTTTTACTTTTATTTTATTTAATTTTTTTTTAATGTTGACAACATTGGACAGGACTCATCCATTTCTTTTTCTCTAGCAGGTACTGAAACAGCTATTGTATCTTATGCGTTTCGGAGAAAAGGTTGTTCAAAGACGTGTGGCTCTAGCTCTTGCTCATTTATGTTCCCCTGATGATCGTAAATCCATTTTTGTTGACAACAATGGTAAAAAATGATTCATTTGTGGTGTGTGCATCATTTTTGCTTGGATTCTAAAGTATATTTAGTTATTGTGCTACTGAATTTTGCAGGACTTGAGTTCCTGCTGGATCTTCTAGAATCTACAAACCTCAAACAGAAACGTGATGCGTCAATGGCACTTCACTCGTTGGCCGTCAGAACCACATCTGTCTCTCCCTTTGATGTTGCCCCTCTGTCCCCGATTCCCCAGGTAAACTACATATCTCATTTGCTTACCCCATTTCATCAAGTTGGACAAGGAGAAAAAATAAATATAATTTTCATGTTTTTGTTACCAGGTTTTTATTTCTAACTTTTATCAATAAAATGACGATACATTGGCAATACTATTTTTAAATACTCTGTGGCAGTTGCAGGAAATAATATATTTAGACATTTAGTCACTAAAAAAGTCATTTATTGTTTCTTAAATTAGTCTTCTAAAGGTTTTTTTTTCTTTTTTTTTTTAAATTTTAGTGTTAGTAAATAAGAGTCTATTGGCCATCGACATGACGATTGACATTGGTTAATCGTGATGGCATTTTTTTTCAAAATGCGCTAAGTCAAATTTTATGAAGTGATTGTAAAAATGAATGTTGTTTTGGAGGAGAAATGTTACTTGAGCCGGGAAAAAAAAGAAGAAAAAGCTATGTTGTTTTGGCTTAACCCTGTATTGATCTACTTTTACTTTTATTTATTCATTGATCCTTTGTGCTTATGTAAGGATCATAGACGTGATGAAAATTGTTCATATCGTATGAAAATTTGCTCTACTTACCTTAGGAAAACAAATTTCAATGAAAAATCATTTTGATTGTGATAGGACCCTCTAATATAACAGGACTTAAAATCTAGAAATAGATAACAAAGACTGGAATGACTGAAACTGATTATAATATTACTATATAATATGCCAGATTACAAGATGTAGGGTGATTTAAGTCACACAGATCACACTCTCACACTCACATACACGAACACAATTAACTAGCAGCCACACACTCAAAACACAGACCACAACACAATGATACCACACTCTAAAACAGAACAAGGTTGCCAATCTTTCGAGAGGTTGGCTCTCTCCTTCCCCCAAGGGCCAAGTTCAATTCCAAATCTCTCTCCCCCCTGGCTGAATCCAAATGGGACAATTTATAGGCCCCAGATATGACTTTCACACTCTCCAAAACAACCCATTGTAGCCTTTGACCTTAGTCTCCCTACAGCCACCCTATTTTCTACTTCTTTCGCCAAAATAGGAAGTCAAAGCTCTGACCCACAAAAGCACCCCTTCCTTTTTTCATGTATTTTCCCAAGTTTATAAAAAAATAATCCTAACAGATTGGATGAAATTTGGGTGACTTTTGGTTTCTTTAAGGAGACCGATTTGAAAAGTGAATAATCTTACGAGGATTATCTTGTGTACTGTTTTCTCTTGATTCACTCTAATTTTTACTGGTTTTTGTTTCAGGTATACTTAGGCGAGCAATATGTAAACAATCCTACACTTTCAGATGTCACGTTTTTAGTTGAAGGTAGACAGGTTGTCCCTGAATATTTTCCCCGCACATAATTAATTTTGAAATATGTGCCCATGATGTTTTGATTCCTTGTTTATCAGGCAAACGGTTCTATGCTCACCGAATCTGTTTTACTTGCTTCCTCTGATGCTTTTCGAGCAATGTTTGATGGTGGTTACCGGGTAGGCATTGATTAATGTTAATAATCTGTTTTCTTTTTATTATTATTTTATTAAAAGTATTTTGGGTCGCTGACTTGCTTTACTGGGAAACTCTTTCCTTCTTTCTTATCAATTATTGTGCGCAAAACAGTAGGTCTGTTGTAATTACTTCCATCTTTGTAACTAGTCACTTGAAAGTTAGGCTGGAACCTATGCTTTGTAATTTTAATCTAAAGCATCTATGCTGCTTTTTATTATTTTACTTGTCTGACTAGATTCAACGGTGCCGACATTACTTGGTAAAATAGCTATTATGAATCTGAGGGGTTTAAGCGTCAATAACCGCTTTGACATTCTTGGAATATGTAATGTAGGAAAAGGAAGCCAAAGATATACAGATTCCCAACATTAAATGGGATGTCTTTGAGTTGATGATGAGGTTTGATTCTCTGTCCCTTTCTTTGATGGATTTTTCATTTTTTTTATTGCTTTATCTGATAGATGTTGTGCTGTACATGACTTGATTTTCTTTGGGCGCTTCTAGATTTATTTACACAGGAACCGTAGATGTCAATTTGGATATCGCTCCGGATCTCCTTAGAGCTGCCGATCAGTATCTCCTGGATGGTCTTAAGCGGCATTGTGAATGTGCAATTGCTCAGGTAGGGAAAGAGTATAGTTTTATAGTTGATTTTTCCTCTATTTTTCAAATTATTCTATGAACATGTTATAATCCCATTGTTCATCATTTGTTCCCAGGATATTTCCGAAGAAAATGTTTCCCTTATGTACGAGTTATCAGAGGCATTCAATGCTATGTCATTGAGACAAGCATGTATATTGTTTTTGTTGGAGCAATTTGACAAGCTACGTGCCAAACCATGGTATGCTTCGTTGAGCGAGTTGAATGTTCTGTTCTTTGCCCCTTTTTTTCCTGGGAAAATGGTCCTGCGATCCTTTTTAGCATGGTAAAGCTATATTATTTAAGAATTTAAACTAAATTCATATGTTTTTCGTCTTGTTATTGAAATATGCAGGTATTGCCGCCTTATACGTCGCATCGTCCCAGATATACGCGAATTTTGCAGAAGTTTGCTTACGAAACCTACACTAGGAGAATCATGATTTGGTTTGAGTTACAAAACAACTCAGAAAAAGGAAAATTGTACATAGCTGTAATTGTTTTGATAGGAATCACTAGGTCATTTGTAGTCAATGAGCTTGTGATGCAGGGAAGATAAATTGCGTAGTCGTAGGAACATTCTGTTACATAGAATAGGATACTAATCCCACCATTCTTTAATGCCGTTTCTGGACTTACATCTGACCGTAACAAAAACAGCTAGCATCATTCTAATAGCAAAAGAATGCTGGTTAATGGTTCTGGCCGCGGTCACAAGTAATGAAAAGCTTTTATTTGACAATTCACAATTCGTTCAGTTGCCCAATGGGTTTCTTGTGTTAATTCCCTGCATGAATAGGGCACAAATCAAGCTATTATAAACAGAATTGGGCGATAGCCAATGCCTGTGCTAAACTGGCTTGTAATCAAGGAGACGTAAAATTATAAATTTGTTTGAATGCATTTCTCCCATGTCTGGTCCCACTTTATATTTAGATTTAGTTTAAAATATACGGGTGTCCCTAGATGATTAAAGCATTATTCAGAATTACATTTGAAATTAAGACCTAGGTCAGATGTCGCCAGAGGATTGGAGGTAATCTTTATTCTATCATCTTCAAAATTACGTATTATGCAGAGCAGAGTTTGCTAGTATTGGAAATTTTGAAACAAATTTTAGCGTAAGATTAAATATTTGTGCCTTCCATTAAAAAACTTAACGTCGAGGTTACAAAATAAATCTCTGTCGAAATAAATAAGAAATATAATCTGAAGGAGAATTTGATGAATGCAAGCGAGACCCTAATGAACATTACGCAACTCAGATTTATGTCTCCAGGTTTGAAAGAAGTACAGCTTCGGGGTTTTTCCTTGCTCCCAACAGAGGTGTCAAAATCCGTGTCACTTCCAGTACTCATGCCTCACAAATTTTTTTGTGCTAGGTGCTGACTGGAAGTTGAAGTCTGAAACAAGGGAAAAACTGGGATGTTCAACACTATATGGCTAGACCTACAAGTGTACAGGTGGGAGCGATAAACAATAAAACCAGGAGAGAGAAGAGAGAGGAAATCATAAACAAACACCACATTGTTACTACGAATAATTATATTAAATCACCATGGCCTTTAACTAGCAATCAATCCATTTTTTAATATTACAACACAATTTTTGATTCTGTCTGGGGCAATCGAGGAATTGGAACAGCTTATCTTCAACAATTTCATCTTGCGATTGTCGAAGCACAAGTGGAGTCATCTTTGGGACCAGCTTTCTTTGATCGACAAGCCTGCATTGGCCGCTCAATCTGGAGTGCCTCTGCAGCTTCCATCTCCAATTGCACACAATATTTCCCAAATGACTCTTCACTAATCTGAAGTCTAAAATCTATGCTAAAGAGGAAGTTCATCTCCAACCTATTCAACTCACTTGTGATTATTCCTCCGAATTTTGCATAGTAGGCATTGTTGAAGACAATCTGCCACAACCATGTCAAGCAAGCACTACTTCAACTACTTGAAAAAACAAAGAAAGAAGCTATACGTAAAAATAATCTCTGTATCAGAACCCAATTCAACAAAAAACTGTCATATAGATAAACAAAAACTACCACAGACTTCTTTATTTGTTACTCCTGAATGACTTGGAGTTACCTATCTTTTGTAGTTAGAAAAGCACACAAAATTTCTGCTATAAAAAATAAGTAATGAAAACAATCACAGCAAGTTAAGGAGAGAATCTGTCAGCAAGAACATACGCATCATCCATAAATTTTGCTGCTAGCATAATGCTAGTTATCAGAAGCCGATGCACATTGAGTGAAGTAAGCTTAACTTCAGTGCATTGAAGGAATCTATCCACATAAATTTGCGCAACAACAAAGCAGGATGGGCTGCAGCCTGAGTACTTGAAGATACGGTCGATATACTTAGAAATACTCAGACTAGGTGCTCTTAGACCATGAAATACTGTAACTACATCTTTTACTTGCTTTGCCTCCAATAGCATTTCATTTCGCTGAACTGATCGCTCTAGAAGTGAAGCAACAAGTGATAAAACCCGTGGAATTCCAACAACTCCTTTGTCCAATTCTTTGAGCCCCAGTGAAAGGTATATATCTGACCTTACATCTTCAGATTCAAGCGCCAGAGTCCCCATATCCAACCTACAGAGCAACGAATAATCATCAATAGGATATTCAAAGTGCTATAAATTTGCGCAACAACAAAGCAGGATGGGCTGCAGCCTGAGTACTTGAAGATACGGTCGATGTACTTAGAAATACTCAGACTAGGTGCTCTTAGACCATGAAATACTGTAACTACATCTTTTACTTGCTTTGCCTCCAATAGCATTTCATTTCGCTGAACTGATCGCTCTAGAAGTGAAGCAACAAGTGATAAAACCCGTGGAATTCCCACAACTCCTTTGTCCAATTCTTTGAGCCCCAGTGAAAGGTATATATCTGACCTTACATCTTCAGATTCAAGCGCCAGAGTCCCCATATCCAACCTACAGAGCAACGAATAATCATCAATAGGATATTCAAAGTGCTGAAATATGCAATCTATCAAAGCACCTGGAAAGATCAAACCAAAGATAAACTTGATAATTCTTAGGATGTTCAATAATCAGTAACTTGAAAAAATAGTTATTTTCGTAATGAATAAATGGAAAGAATGATAACTGAATTTTAGTCTATCCATAACTATCTATCAATTCGGCCACAGAAAAATTGCTCTAGCATTTTGAATCATCGGACGGTTACCTACATCCCAAAACAAAATACCATCATATCGTGTATGAATGCCTTTGTCGAAGAATTCTCATCAGGGGTACTTAGATATGGGTTCCCAAGTAATTAGAAGTTTTATTAGATGCAGCAGCAAATAGTTTGGTAGGTTATTTTAATGAGGCGCCCAGAATGATTAAAACAACATAGTCTCCTATGTCATACCATGAAGCAACATCTGGAAAAATCCTTTCCAATTCAGCATCTACTTCAAAGGCATAACAAATTCTTTAGATAGAAAAGCATGTGGCCATATCCAAAAATGGACTATAAACTTCATTTTCCTACACAACTTCAGGCTACATGATCTTTGTCAGTTAATCATTCCCAGATCTGTGAGTACCAACTTTACTTCATTCTTCTTCTTCCTCTTGTTTCCTCACTTCCAAAATAGTGCAGAATACAGCAAATCTCAGCTATTGAGCCACAAAGCGTGATTCCCATAATATATGATAGATATTGACAGCTCCATAGCAAACAGTCATACTCTCCCGTCCCCGGATAATGAAAGAAAGGGAGAAGAGAAGGATGAAAGAGAGCACTTAGCTTGACCAACTAATCAAAACGAAAAATCAGAAACAAGAAAGACGACGACACGCAAAATTTAGCCAGAAGAAGAAACAAAACAACAAATCGAAATCCAAAATCAAAGCAGGAAACTAAGGCACAGACTGAGCCCAAGCCCTCAAACGCAGTAATACATCAAAAAGAGACACGACGAAACTCACAAGTTTTGAAGGGATGACTCTAACATAGAGCTGGTGGTCTCTTCTGCTACATAAGGGTAAGGCGCGAAGATGGCGACCTGAATCGAGGAACATCATCTTCTCCCTCAGCGCTGGCCATGTCTGATTTAAACTGGTCCCTCCGAGTTAAAGGAATAGCTTTATGTTAATTAATAAATAGGGGAAAAAATTCTCATGTTCTGCGCTGCAAGTTTGGTCTTTTCTCCAAAATATTGGTTGGTCGTTCGAGACTTTTTCACAATTTTTTCTAATAAATATAACAACGACGAAAGTGCATCATGGGTTTCTTGCCCTTTTTCTCTCTCTACGCTTTACGTGAAGACAGAATTTATCCCCCCGCTGCCATAACTTCAGGTCAGTGTGAAAGAAAGCTATCTAGACTAACGGGTCCCACTCATTTTCTTCCAAGTCTTGCTAAAATCCAACAGAAGAAAAGCCCATTTTCCCCTTGATTTCTTTGAATGCTTTTTCTTAGCTACTGTGATTGATGCAGCAAACGTGAAGTAAATTCAAACCTCGTAGCTTCCATGTTAATAACTCCAGAATGAACTGGCGTGTGGTAAAATATCTGTGTTTGTGCTTGTGTGCTAGATGCTGCGTCATTTGTGGTGGGTAAATACAAGGAACGCAAGAGGATAGCGAATCCTGAATGGATTGCGGCACAAGTCAGGCCCCACTACAGTGGATTATGAGTAAGGGACCTGCAATAATACACTTTTTAAAGTTTGCGTTTTTTGTTTTTCATAGAAATGTTCACAGCTACTATCTCTGTTTGTAAATGCGCTTCTTCCTGCCTCATGATTCTGCGTTTTACTTTCCTTTTTTCTTTTGCCCCCTATTGGACCGCTGAGCTTATCATGCCTCTCTCTCCTTTTTATCTGTTATTATAAAGATGTACCCGTAGTAACGTAGGATTTTTATGCCAAGAATATGCTTTTAATGTTTATAAATCCATATATGTTCCTCTCTGTTTCTATTTATAAATTAATGCAAGAATTTTTACAGAATTTAATGTGCCAATGATTAGATTATAAACAACTGCATATTGCTGGACACGCCAAGCGACGACATTCAAAACTTGGAGATAAAGCTTTCATGACAATATAAGGATTTATTGCTTAATATATTAGTCCAACTTTTTTGTTTATTTACGTCCAAAAGAAAATTCTTGACGTCTCGATGGATTTTTGCATTCGTCCTTTCTGCTGTTAGCTTATTACTGGTTTATCAACCTTGAAACCGTTCAAATTCAACATCTGAAGTTCTAAACCCACTCGTCAATATCAATTTACCTACTTCATCCTTTCATGCTTATGTAAAAGCTAATGTTGGCGCAATTCATGAATTTTATTACACTATTCAATCTTCAAGCTTTCTGTAATCTGATTGGTTTACTTGATGCAACTTAACTTTTTTGAAAAATAAATGCCAGATGGTCTTCTCATAATTTTGCGAAGCAATTAATACCACATCAAGATTGAGATTAATCTAAATTCAACAACTTGCAATAAATAACTTGAAAGTTTATGAAATCAATTCAGGGACTGTCAACTTTCGTTTTCACAAGCGTTACACAAAAAATGACACGTGAGCTTTATTTATTTATTTATTTCAATAGGAATTACGTTTGTCATCAAAAGTTGGTGCAACAGCAACATCGATCACAACCTCCCAACTTCCCAACTACTCCTAATTTTTAACATCATTGTGATGAGGCTTTCCTCAGACCTGAACCCATTATGTGTGAGTAATTATGCATAAAAAAATATGAATACAAGTCCCTGATTATTAATCGATTCGGAAACTAATATTACAACACACAGATCCACTCACGAATCACTACATATCCAAAGGAGTTAATTGATAAAAGTGTCCCTTAAGAGATATTTTAATTTTCTTTATATAAATCAGCTATTTAATTTTTACGTTTAAAACTAAAGAGAATAATATATTGTGGTATCATTTTCGCAATGAGGATTGTGGGATGATCCCAAATTATTGCTCTTTGGCGGCTTCCGAGCGGCATACATGTGTCCACCGCATTCCAGCTGGCAAAGTGTCGGTGTTGTTCATGAGCTATAATTAGATTAGATAATTAGATGATATATTTGCAACCATATTAGTATTTAATAATTAATTATATTACACGTATCCCTATCGAAACGATGGAAATCCAGTGGAGGTGCCTTGAACATAAAATCTAAACTAGAACGTCGACACGCACTGTCATGGGGCGGGGCCAAGTGCATGTACGAATATAATCAAAGTTGATGGTTGGCCATGAAAAAAATAATAATAAAACAGACATTTTGAACTCTTTAGAATAAGTACTTAAAAACGCACTTATGTAAATGAAGACAAAATTATCATTAAAGTCTTACCTCGTAATCACCTTGAGAACTGTTTTTTGAAGATCATATTGTCATCTCAAACATCAGCAAATTAAGTGCTTGAGTTGAACAAAAAGGGACCTTGATGAGTCACGGTGGTGGTCCTTAAATTAGTTTATTTTAATATTTTTGCATTACATGAGATAAATACGTAAAAAAAACATATTTCACTTATTTTAAGTAACTATATGCTGTACAAAGTAACCATATGAATAAAATTTTATTTCTTCCAGCATAGCTAATTGTTCTTTTCTTTTAGTTGAAAAAGTGTTTATATTTAGTATCCGATAGTGTTTTGAATATGATTATCTCTAATAGATGGATGTTTGTACTTATCCGGACAAAATTGTCTCTCTCTTTTTTTTTTTTTATAGTTGGGGACGATAATCCAGGCCGAGGCCCAAGTTGAATTCCGGGCCGGTGCTCACTTAGTCCTTTATCTTTCTATCTAATAATTTTAAGGAGTCATTTTATTTTAATTGGAGGGGGTTGCGAACACTCATGACTGGGGGGCTGATTTGTTGATGATTACTTGGAATTCAGGTCACTCCCACAAGGTGCTTGTAATCATCATCTTTCACATTCCCCCGATGCAGTAAAGCAATTTTATTCTGCCTCCCTCAATTTTTTATTCTTAAATTAATCCGAGTTTTCTCACAAACATTACTGAAACACAGGTTCCTGTAAATTAATCTGAAAAATCATCTCAGATAACCAATATATTATTAAAAACGACGAGGACTGTACATTTACTTTTTTTTTAATTACTTATGAGTATTATTTTATTAAAAACAATCCCCTTTGACATAGTGGACACCAGATACTCATTTTCTTTGGCCAACCATGCCCTTGGAGTGGCCCCTCCCAGGAAAATTGTAGATATACCAGTAAAAAGCAATAAGCATCCCAATGAGTATAATAACTTGACAGCAACTTTGCGGAAGAAAAATTAGTGTAACGATTTATTATAGTCACCAGGCATAATCAATGCATCAGTTTCAAATAATATCAAGCATGCAAGGAACTTACATATATATTTTTTATATATTCCAAAGTCATACTAAATATGTTGATCTTTTATTCTAGAGGATCAAAATTGTACATCATAAGAACATTACCCCACTAGGTCGCCGGCACCCAATAATGATGTAGTTTGGTGTTTTTTTTTTAATGTTTAAAAACCTTAAACATCACAAATAAAACTATAAATTATAAGAACAAAGATATTGATTATAAAAAGGTGTTCTCATTCTTTTTTTTTAGTAAACAAAATTTAGATGAATTGGGTCCCAGAAACTCATTAGCATCAATGCATATCTCTAGACTCATCAATAAAGTCTCCAAACAGGCAGCGGGATTTGAACCCACAATCTTGTGACTTATGAGCTTATTTATTACCAACTATATCAACTTTTGCTGGTATGTTGTTTTAATTCTCATTATTACTACTCCTTTCCGTCTTTTTTATAAGAACTTGAAATTTGAATTGCATTAAGTCTTTTTTATAAGATTTCACATGGGGTTGTTTAAACACTTAACATGTTTTTACTATTTTTGTCCCTAATTAATTTTATGCATTGCATTAATTAATTAAAAGGTTCACAAGTTGCATTCTCTTTTATACTTTCTCTCTCTTATTTACCCCTTATAAATAAGGTTATATATTTGGAAAAGAAATTTCATTTCTTATATATTTATTATTTTTAATTAATTTTAAATGTTTTCTTAAACCTCATAGGTTAGTTAATCTTGGCATCATTAGTTTTTATAAAAATAGTTCAAAACTATTTCCCCCTATAATATCAATTTGAAATATCATATTTTTTCGATAATAGTTCTTTACTCAAATTATTGTAATTTACTGTGTATCGTATATAGTTCAAAACATCAACTCATCAGCTGTGCTATTAATAAGTGATAAATGTATGATTTTTTTTAAAATAGTTATATAATATATAATCTCAATATATAGGTAATACTTTTGGGGGGGGAGAATAGAAAGAAAGGTAGTATGCAGTATGCCGTATGCCGTTAGACAACATGATAGTATTTAGATATTCTGGGGAAAAAAAAACCTCCCCTCGGGGAAAGAGTGCTACTGTTATATTTTTTCGTGATTTGTCTGCCCTCCGTTTCCACTAACGCAGTAAGGCCGCGAACGGATCGCATCCAAAATTTCGAATTTCAAAATCGCCTGGAATCCAGCTGCTCCTCTGTTCCCATTTTTTACTGATTCTTCCTTAGCCTCGCTCTAGGGTTTTCTTCGGATCTCTTTGATCGAATTTGACTCACCACTCTCAGGTACCACTTCTTTTATCCCTCTCTTTGTTCGCTCTATTTCTGGATATTCTTCGTTGTTTATCTATTTCTGGACATTCTTCGTTGTTAATGCTTCATGTCTCGACTCCTGGGTCTTGCTTTAAGCTCTTTTATTTCTCTCCTTCACTTGTCCTCCTAGGGGTCAGGTTTCTTTGGATTTGATCTAACCAGTCTTTAGTGTTTCCATTATTTTTCGAGTTGTAATAATCGGTAAAAACCATGGCTTTAGATGCTGAAATAAAACTTTTGTGCTGGAGGAGTACTGTAAGCCCTGTGCCTCACAGGATTCATATTATTTGGTCTATCGTATTAAAGTGTTTATGGTCTGTGATATGTGTTTAACTATTAATCTTGATTAATCTGCCGAGATTAAATTTTTGTTGCTTTCGTACCATCTTATCGACTTGTGCAAACCGATGTTTTCGGACTTTTTTTTTTTTAAATTTATGTGTAAATTAGTATCATAAATTTGAAGTAATATGTCATAGTAAGCATATTATACTTCCTTAAATTTTCAACTGAGAGCTTATATTTATGTGCCACCTGTTCTTTCAATCTGGGTTTATGATAATAAGTTTGTTTACAAGTCGAGCCATATCAAAAGCTTTTTGGTTATATAATCTACTGTGATGTGTTGTTTCTGATCAGTAGGGTCTCTTACTCCCTGGTCAAATCAATCCCCTTTGCCATTGTTGTGGCAGCTATTTCTACAATTATCTTATTGGTTTACTACAATCTATACATTGTATCGTTGACCTTTTTTCATGAACAATTTGTTATCCTCCTGGTGTCTTCTAGTAAGTAGTAATTGGTATCTCTGTTTTTTTTTTTCTTTTTAAGTTGCCAGCTAATAATTAGCACCTGACATCTTATGTGTTTAATTTTGGCAGAGGCATCTAATGTTACTGTCATGGTTGTTACAGGTTGCTTTGGTATGGATTCCACAGAACAGACATACCAGCATCGCTCATTTTCAATCAAATTATGGCCCCCTAGCCAGAGTACCAGGTTAATGCTTGTAGAGCGAATGACCAAAAATCTGACAACTCCATCCATTTTCTCTCGAAAGTATGGACTGCTTAGCAGAGAAGAGGCTGAGGAGGATGCAAAGAAAATTGAGGAAACAGTGTTCACCATGGCTAACCAACATTTTGAGAAGGAGCCTGACGGTGATGGGAGTTCTGCTGTGCAAATTTATGCTAAAGAATCAAGTAAGCTTATGTTGGAGGTATTGAAAAGAGGCCCTCGCATGAAGGAAGATGGAGAATCCATAGATGGAAAGGTTACCGTGACTGCTGATACTGTTTTTGATATATCCGGAGGGCGCAGAGCCTTTATTGATGGAGAGGAAGCTGCAGAACTTCTGAAACCCCTGAGAGAACCAAATTCATATACAAAGATATGCTTTAGCAATCGAAGTTTTGGCTTGGATGCTGCTTGTGTTGCTGAACCCATCCTATCATCAATTAAGCATCAATTGACAGAAGTTGATCTATCAGATTTTATTGCTGGAAGACCTGAAGCAGAAGCTCTTGAAGTGATGACTATATTTTCATCAGTGCTGGAAGGTTGTGCTTTAAAGTCTCTCAATCTGTCAAATAATGCCATGGGTGAAAAGGGGGTTAGGGCATTTGGGTCACTCCTAAGTTCACAAACTAACTTGGAGGAGCTATATTTGATGAATGACGGTATATCAGAGGAAGCTGCAAAAGCAGTTTGTGAACTGATTCCTTCCACTGAGAAGCTCCGGGTTCTTCATTTTCATAACAACATGACTGGAGATGCAGGGGCCATTGCTATAGCTGGTATTCTGAAACGTTCTTCAGCTATGGAGGATTTTCGTTGTTCATCTACCAGAGTAGGCTCTGATGGTGGTATTGCCCTAGCAGAAGCCCTTGGGACTTGTACACATTTGAGGAAGCTCGATTTGCGGGACAACATGTTTGGTGTAGAAGCTGGAGTTGCCCTGGGTAAAGTTATACCTGCATTTGCAGATCTGACTGAGATATACCTCAGTTATTTGAACTTAGAGGATGAGGGGGCAGAAGCAATCGCTATTGCTCTCAAAGAATCTGCTCCATCACTAGAGATTCTGGAAATATCTGGAAACGATATTAGTGCTAAAGGTGCTGCTTCATTGGCTGCCTGCATAGCCTCCAAACAATTCCTTACCAAGTTAAATCTGTCTGAGAATGAGCTAAAGGATGAAGGTGCAATTTTGATTAGCAAGGCACTGGAAGAGGGTCATGGCCAACTAAATGAAGTCGATTTGAGCACTAATGCCATCAGAAGGTCGGGAGCTAGGCTATTGGCCCAAGCTGTTGTGCGGAAAGCTGGATTCAAGTTGCTTAATATCGATGCCAACTTCATATCTGACGAAGGGATTGATGAGCTGAAAAATATATTTAAAAATTGCCCCCATATGCTTGGTCCCTTGGATGAAAATGATCCGGAAGGAGAAGACAATGACGTTGATGACGAAACTGAAGAGGACGGTGCTGATCATGATGAATTGGAATCAAAACTGAAGGGACTCAACATTAAGCAGGATTCTTAGGACCTTGATGAATGTAACTTATAATTTTAATCTTGTAGCTCAATTCGTATTTTCAGTTGACGAAGTTTTTTTTTTTTTTTTCCAAGATTGTCATTCAGCTTAACTCGACCTTCTGTGAAAAATGTATTAATTCCATTAACATCATAAACCTTTAGTTTCGGAAATTCTTATCTTAGGTTGCTGTGTGACTCCTACCTTCGTTTGTGTGCGTTTTTTATCCCTTTTATTGCATCATCTTTTATGGGTGATTGCTGAGGTTTTGACTGAATGCCTGGTGATGGTAGGTGACTAGACAATCCAAGAATTTTATGTATCTGTTGATCGCCAGGACCTTGAAAGCTTGGATACTAGCTATCAAAATGCCGCTTATGTGGAGAATCTACAAATGATTATGGTATGACATATTTAGGCTACAATTTTCGGCCAATAAGGTTACGTTTATTATATCTTATGATCAATCTGCAATATTTGTGATCCATCGTGGATTCTCGAAATGCTTGAGTGCATTCTGGAAAACTGATGATACGATAGATTCATTCTAAAGCCGAAGTAGATCCTCAGAATAAGCTACGGTCTGGTACAGATATGCATATCAAATTATTAAAACCTTTCTCCTTTCAAGAAGAATTTGGTCAAGTAGTATTCTCTAATACACTTGTTTCCTCATAGGGTAACAGGAAAACTTACAGTATGGTTTGGGTATGAATTGATCACACAGGTACTGGAACTTCTAAGGACTCCAATATTTTATCATCTAGCTCAAACTTCATGTCCTTCTTGTCTCTCCCAATCTTGACGTACTCATCAAAACGTTCTTTCAAGTCCTCAGGAAGGTTTGTGCTGCATGTCCATCCCAACTTTACTTTGGCTGCTCTAGGCTCGGCATAGAAGTGCTGCATCATGCACACTCATATGTAAAACATGTATTTTGTGTGTGTGTAAGATGAGTACGTGACCAATACACTGGTGGGCAAGGCATTCATATATCATACTAACTCCATTACTTAATATAAGATATATTATATGATCTTTATGAAATACTTATATATATATATATATCAGTTTATAAGTTAGGCAAATTAGTTCAGATAAAAATGATAAATATAAATATTTTAAAATAATTGTTTAGTTTTTTTAATATTTCCAAATCAATCAACTGGTAAGACCCGGAGGTAGTAGTTCCATACCTTCGATAAATTTGATGCTATAACCATAGTGTCATGCTAATTTTTGAAACATCAGTGTGTCAAGTAAAAGACGTGTAATTACCATATTCCGGAAGGGGAAAGCTTTCTTAGCATCAATTCCAACAGCTTTAGGGTCATAAAGCACGATGTTAATAGGCCGCTGTGCAGCTTGGGCACATAGTTTGGCCATTCCAACCAAAGTCACAGCACGGTCGCTCACACAGTTGAAAATGTTATGATTCGCGGCTTCTGGTTTCTCAACAGCTAGAGTAAGCATGGAAGACAAGTCCCTAACATGAGCTATGTTTGTGAGTTGCAAGCCAGAGCCAGGAATTGGCACTGGTCTGTTCCTCACAATTCCTGAAACACAGAATATTCATATGTTGGCATATAATGAAATCTACTGCCAACCTCTTGTCTAAGAAATTACATACGCTATCTGACGTTTCAAGAGACAAATAAGAGATAAAGCTTGTCTGTGATTTTCCCACTTACTATCAAAAAACCACTCTTCACAGTCTTTGTTGTTGCCGGAGCCAATCATATACTGTGGCCGGAATATTGACCAGCTGCCAAAAGTTTCCTCAATATATTTCTCCACCCCAACATGACCAGCATCAGCTTTAACAACATCCTGAATGGGAGGAGGTTTCAACTCCGGCTAATATTGCTATTGGCACGCATGAATAATACTCCTCCGGTCCTTATTATAAGACCCAATTTGACTTTTTATTTGGTCCTAATTATAAGACCAAATCCATTTTTTCTCTTATATTTATGCATTTTTTTCCAAGATAATCCTTCTAATAATGATAGTTTTAGCCAATATACTTAATTAGCAAGGATATTTTAGGAATAACAACACTTATTTATTATAAATAACCAACTTAACTTACTTCCTTAATCTCCTCAAATAAGTCAATTGGGTCTTATAATTAGGACCGGAGGAGTATGTATATATATATACTGAGATCATAAATATAACATACCCCTTCAACATGGGGAGGTTCATCGGTTGGTTTGTAGATTCCAGCACTGCTGATGAACAAGAATTGCTTGGTTCCAGAACTTTTGGCCCAGTCTATCACAGGTCTACAAGCGTGTATTGATGTTAGGCTAGTGTCTTGGAAATAGCAATTGCATATTCACTCCTGAATATATTTTAAGGAAAACCGGAGAAAAGGGCATTTGCCTTGCCATTTCCAGCAACTATTTATTCAAGGATACTAATTCTCATTATTATAGACACAAAACGTTATTATGAAATGGGATCAAAGTAGCAAGACGCAATCATGCCGAGGAAGACGTAGATGAAACCCAAAGCAATGACTTTCCATCAAAATTTAGCATCACCAAGCAAAGTACAAGAATTAAAGCAACAAACCTCACAGCGTCAAGGTCCTTGCCATTGTTGTCCAAAACCACATCAAATGTTTCCCCTCCCACAACACTCCCTATTTCTGCTGGATTTCCCCAGATTGTGCGGCCTCCAGAGCTCACAATTTCCTGAATATTTTCCAATTTCGCACGTAAATACAAGGGATTCACAATATTCATCACTAATATCACAGAGACATATGCGTTGCGAAAGCAAACATCATGTTCAGAGCGAGATAGGAATTTATAACTGAAAATCTGCTAAAAGGGGGTTTCTTCATCTTGCCGGAGCTTTCTTCACCAACAGTGAGAATAGTGACCGAATGGCCATTACCCAGAAGCTCTTTGGCGAAATAAAAGCCAATCACGGCATGCCCACCACTGTCGGTATTCACAATAAGCACCTTCTTCTTCTGTTCAGCACTAGCCCTCAGAGTGAAAGCAGAAGGAGTGGCAAAACGTGTAAAAGTGGAAGGGTGGGGGAGAAGGATGGGAGAAACAGAGAGAGAGGAGGAATAGGATAAGGAAGAGAAAGAAAGGCGAGAAGAAGAAGAAGGAAGAGAGGGTGGTAGGAGAGTGGAAGAGGATGAAGAGTGAAGCAAGAATGAAGAAGAAGCAAGAGAGGCCATTGATTCTCGATCCCGTTGCTTCTCAGAGAATGAGAACCAGCAGTTGCTTTTACACAAGATAGAGTTAGCTATATACGTGCCTCCTCAGGTCAATTTCCTGGGTAATTTCTGGATCACACCAAAGAAAGCACGATGGGTTTTACGTGGATATGCTCCTACTTTTGGGGAGGCGCAGGGAGAGAAATAAGGTGGTCAGTGCAACTATTAAAAGAAATGCATACAAATTTAATTTGTTTTTTTTTACCATCGTTCTTCGTCTAAACAAATGAATGTAAAGAATTTAGTTTCCAAATTTTGATTTTATGCAAATTTAATTCTTTTTAAATATGATTATTTGGGAACTCTTGTACTATCTCTTAATTAATTAGAGGATCTGTTTATTTACATGTCTACATATTTTATAAAAACCTGAATTTTTATTGAAATACTATAATTAACTTTCGAAAAAAAATTATGAGTAATATAGTCATTTCAATAAATTTAAAAATTTCAATTTGTTATTGTAATTTTGTTTATTTGGGTGATTATTTAAAAATTTTTAAGTTCAAAAATCATTTTTACTGTCATTTTCCTAATAAAAAATTAAGCTAATGAAAAAATTTAAAAAATAATTTGTATGTGTAAAGTGTTTTTATTTTGGAAGAATTATAATAAGATTTAAAAAAATTATTAAAAAATCTCAATAACAATCTAAACAATTTATAATAATAAGTTACATAATAGAAAATAATAACTTTTAGAATTTATTTTATAATTTTTTTAGACTCTTTATAATTTTCTTTTTTATTTTTTCGGGGAGCGCCGAGCAAGAAGTCAGAATTGAGGGATTGGCCAATCAAAATAGAGTGTGGACGGGACAGCCAACTATAAATAGTAGAGTAGTGACAGTAATAAAAGAAAAGGAGCTTCAGATTTCCGAACGTTACTCGGAGATAACGGCAGTAGGGCCCATCTATATTTAAACCCTTGCAATCCTTCTCCTCCCCAGTCTGCCTTTTGAAAAGTGGAAACTATCCGTTTGAGCCTCACCTTCTCCTCACCCTCTCTCTCTCCCTCTCCCCCAGTCACTGCAATGGCAACATCTCTCGACTCATCACCCTCCCCTCTCCGACTAAACCAGGTTTCTTATTCTTCATCATTCTCTCACTCTTTCTACTTTCCATCAGCTTTTTGTGGTTATTATTGTTATTTTGACAGGAGGCCGCTAGTGAACCTATGGCTTCTTCTTCTCCGCCTCTGTTCAGCCCTTCTTCCGATAAGCGTTTCTGGAGCAATCTCCGGAACAGGATGGACACCATTCTTGATGATCGTCATCCCAAAATCTCCAACGATGATGATTCTTCTACTCACACTCTTGCCCGTGAGGTTAGTCTCCGTCTCTAGAAAAATTATGATGGGTTCTCTTCCGTACTGGGAAAACTAAGTAATGGGCTCTTGAGCTTCGTTCATTTTGCAGAGTGAAAAATCTAACAGGTTGAAGGAAGGTTCTTTGCTGCTCATCAGGGGGTTTGACTCCATCGCCCACACTCTCTCTCTGCTTTCAAACAATTTGGACAATGCCTTACAGGTATTATTCTGAATTCTGACCTCTACTTGAGCATTTTTCATGCATTCTCTTTGCAGATCCTTGTTGAATTATCAGTCTCTTAGGCATTTCATTTACAATTCTCGCCCTTTCTTTTACCCAAAGGGAGCCAGAGAATTGGGTCAACCGCCCACATTGACCGACATATTCCAGAGCAAACATTACAAGGGTGAGAGTAAAGAAACCGAATCAGAAGAGAAAAAGAAAGAAGACGAATCTAAAAAAGGAGCAAAAAGGAAGTATGATCCGAGTGAGTTGTCAGAAGTCACTGCGGATGACTCCCAGAAGGCAAATGAAGGAAGAAACAGAAACAAAAACCTGAAGAAAGCCAAAAATGTTGGTACAATTCATCTTTCTAACGGCGCTTTTGTTCCATGTCTAAAAGCACTACTTTTTCTAGATAAAAGGTACTCGTTTTATCTATATCAGCTTAAAGGTACTTGTTTTATCTATGTCAGCTTGCAGTTTTAATGGCAAGCAAAGCAGCCTCACTTGCCAGAGAATTGAAGTCTATAAAGTCAGACTTGAGCTTCTTGCAAGAAAGATGTGCTCTGCTTGAAGAGGAGAATGGCAGGCTGCGTGATGGGTTTGCTAAAGGAATAAGGCCAGAGGAAGATGATCTGGTGAGGCTTCAACTTGAAGCATTACTTGCAGAAAAATCCAGATTGGCCAATGAAAACGCAAATCTGATAAGAGAAAACCAGTGCCTGCATCAGCTAGTGGAGTACCACCAACATACATCTCAAGACCTCTCGGAATCATACGAGCAGGTCATCCAGGGAATGTGCTTGGACTTCTCGTCTCCGTTGCCATCAATTGCCGGAGACAAAGAAGAAGAAGAAAAAGGAGATGATGATGATGATTGTAAGACGAAAGCATTTCAAACGCCTAGGAGCGACCTCTTCGAGTTCCCTTCACTTGACAATGAGGGCAGTCATGGGGATGATGAGAAAAACTGAAAAATTGAGGATCGTCTTTCTTCAAAACCCTTAAATTTTATAGTAATATATTGTATTCCTCTTCAAGTTCTCTGTTTCGCTTGATGACGAGAGCTATCATGAGGTGGGTACGGAAATTTTCAGGCATCACCGTTAATCTTAGATGCCATAATATTCAAATATTGTACTAGTAATAAATCAAACTTATAAATTATTGACATTAATTATCTGCACATTCATGCGTCTTTTTATTTACACTATATATATATATATACACACTTATAAAGTAAGAATGATCGTTTAAATCTCATGGGCTTTATTTGAAGAATTACGGGATGAAATCAAGTGTTTTGTTTGTGAAATTGTGAAAAGGCAAAAAGCATACATAACTTTGCAATTCAGTCTTGTATTTGTGGTTGAACATTCTTGTGGTTTTCTTTGTTGTGCTTTCAAGGCTCTGTTCTCTGTCCAAAAAATAAAAACAAGCATTTTTTTTTTGGGTTTTTGTTTTCAAGCCGTGCTCAGAAAATTAAAATGCCTTTCAACCGTTGTCATTAACCCCTGTTATCGGGACTTTCACCTTAATTTTTAATTTAAAGTTTACTTAATTCTAATTTATTTAGTCAAGAAATATTTCCCTACAAGCATAAGTATACTTCTATTAAATGCAAACGAGTTCGAGTCACACTAAATACAGTCACCTTTGTAGACAAGAGATCCAAACCTTAATTCATTAGGAGCTGTCCTCTTCTGCATTTAGTTGAGAAACATATAATATTGAGGTTTTTTCAGAGAAAAGAGGGTTAAAAAAGATTACAGACTCGGGAATCTCGGACCCAAGGCATCATCAAGAAAGAGACTGTGGAACACCAGGCCAGGCCTACTGTTTCCAAATGCCACACAGGCCCAAATCCATCCCGACCCCAAGAAATTGGGCCTGAGTAAGCCAGACCAAATTCCCAGCTCAGCCTCATTTGCCTTTATCTATTACAATCTCCAGTCCTAACTAAATAGCAGAGTTAATTAGAGCCTTAATTTGATCTTAATTAGAAGTTTCAATCTAATTTATTTTTCATATTTATTTTTTTATTTAAGCAATCCCCATGATGGTTACACATGTTAAAGGATTTTTATTTTAATACATACGATTAATAAAGGTATTTTAATGAAGACAATACTCATTTATTATAAATAACTAACTCAACTAACTTTGTTACCACTCACAAATTAGTTGTTAAGCTTTTATATAGAACTCTTATTTTATTAATAAACTAAATATTCTTTTTTTTTTTTTTAAGATGGCATTGTGAAAAATCTTGTAACCTAATAGCATGAAAATTCTCTTATAAGTAGAAATTGTGGATTTGATTTCGCATGCTACTTTAAACTACTATTGTCCACCCTTCCAAAATATCAGTCTATTAAATTTGTTCGTTAATAACCCTATTTTATCAGATTATTGTATGTACAGTTTATATATGAATATTTCATTCATTTGTGAATTAATATATTTTGATTTAACTATTGCTCTTTTCTAGATTATATATAAATATTTTTATATATTTAATTAAATTATATAAATTCTCATGAAAAAAATTAAATCATATAAATTTAGTCATGATTATTGAGTTGACCCTTGATCAACTATACGTATATGATTGGATTATTGATCTTGAGCCCCTCTGTCTTAATTAGTTTAACCACTACTGGTCCAATTTTCAATTTCTTCAAATTAACTATGCCATCGGCATTTCATCTCTTTGGAAATTTGGGAACGAAGTCCTGTTTGAGACAATAATGGTGGCGAGTTGTGAGTTGTCCTTGCACTTGATACGTTAGAAGCCAAGGAATGAGGTCTCTTACCTTGGAATCTAAGAATCGTTAGTGCTGCGCGCGCGGAGAAGAAATTCGTTGAAACTGAAGCTTCCAAAATGATATCTCTGCGCCGTCCATAATAAAGCACGCAACATATTATATTAACGTAAGAGGAAATACCTTTCTTTTTTGGTCCATCGATCCTCTGCAACTCACCATTGAGCAGCCATTTGTTTCATGACAAGCTTGCATGGCCTACGTGCCCCTGTGCTATCCATCTTGATCTCACTGCATTCCTGAAAAATGCAACCGAAAGAGGAAAAAAAATAATAAAAGTAGCAGCACTACCATCAATAACCTCGTCAAAAGTCAACATTTGAATAGAATCATCAATCTTTCTTCCTAGAAATCTTTGTAATTTATTTTATATATATTACAAAACCATGTTCAAATAACAAACGATGCTTCCACCTAGAACGCACATAATAATGAGGTCTAGCTGGCCCTAGGGTTTCTCCTTCCCTGGTTGGTCAACTGAGAACAAAACGTAGATTGCGAAGTGTATCATGCGAGCAAATTCGATGGCTAGGGCTTCGACCTTTTCCTGAGAAAGTGTGCATGGCGCATATATTCTTGCCTCCCCCGACATTTTCCTCTTATTTCTTCACTTAATAAATAAAAGCAGTTAGCGAGGAGAAGGACTGTGAATGCTAGGTCCCCCTCTTCTTCTTCCATCGCTTTTATTTCATACCGTCCTCCTTTGTTGGAATAAGATTCCTCCACAGTTTTTGCACATATTTGTCTCAAAGCTAACCTCAGAACCGTATATTTGATGTTTCACGTCATCCCCGTCTCAAAATAAACCAATGTTGGTGGTTCGCCGTGTTAACAAGGGACCACAAATCAATCAAGTGATCAACGTTATATAAAAGGACATGGCGGAGAAAATGATCGACGTGATTTACGTCCTCACGTTTTCTTACTATATATCTTATTATCTCTGTTTATATCCCTGTGGTAATCAATGACAGCAATTTATTCAGATGTAATAAGACGGTCATCTGTACGTGTTATCCTTTAATTTCATGGATCATAATTACTCATCACAGATTGGGGCATCTTGTGACATGCATGCATGTAGAAAACAAACACCAACAAAAAATGACTAAGCAGCTTTGCTTTTCAATATTACTGGTGAAAAATTGGTCTGTTTCAATTAAAAGGGCAAAGTGATAGTAGTATGCCACCTGTCATTAACTTAATTATCGGTGATGAGACATGACATTTGTTTTTTGTTGGCTATTAAATGAGACTTGAGCTACCAAGACACACAATTATATATTACAGTTTGAACATGGAATCATGTCGATCGGTGCAAGGTGGCAACTTTCTTACGTTTGTTGTTCACTAAAACCTAGGGTTTAGTTGAATTTATGAGGTTGCATGTTAGTCATTAGATGAGAAGATGAATGAGAAGTGTTACATTACGCAATATCATACAAAGCATTGATGCTCGTGTTTTTTTGTGTGTGCATGACAGATTCCTAGACAGCCAAATGCTGCTATGTATTTTTCTGATTTATATTGTTGAAGAAGCTATTATAGAGATATGTATACGGAGGGATGAGGCTTTTAGAGACTGCATGCTTTCGTAGATTTGCTTTATTTGATTCAACAGCTCTTCAACTTGTCGAAGCAAGCAAAATATGCGAGTCCTGTGCAGATTTTGACAGTGTAAAAGTGATTTGGCCAATGGAAAGACACGAAAGGCCAAGGAGGAAAAGGTAATAATGAATCGATGCTCGATTTCTTCTAATTTGCTTCGACCTGCACTAGCCGTAGATTTCAAAGAGCGCGTGCCATAAACTTCATGATTGATGAAACAAAGCTAAGTCAAGAAAAAGGACATTAGATTGACGATTATACTAAGGTTTTATTATGCATGGGTTCCTCTTGATCCTTTGTTTGGTCGGTTGACTCTAAAATTTCTTTATTAGCTTATATTATTACATAAATATCTCGCTGTCTGCTCTAAGAATATTATATATATTCTACAAAGTAGCACCTATAATACGTTCCCACTGTTAACTTTACGTAACTTTCACTTAAAACATCAAACCATTGTTTATCTAAGATGATTCAAGTAACTAAACACTGTGTTTAGAGTTTGGACCACTCGGAATTCCATCTTAGGTTTGGAATAAACTTACATCAGAGTATGTCTTTTGTGTCAGTTCAAGGAACGATATTTTGAATCTTGAAGGAAAAGAAACAATAATAACACCAGAATAAACTACCCTAATAAAGTACTCGGACGGAAAGATGTAATCTTTGTGATTGAACATAACGAAAGGATCAAAATGATGGAATGACAGAGTAGTGAGTATGATGAAACATAGTAGTATAACTGTTGTTGGTTTCTGTGGCTAAGCTTTAGGCTCTGTTGATGGCAATGCCACATCGATAGAATTTCAACCAATGGCTATGAAAAATAGAAGCCAAAGCAACGAATCCATTCTGGACAGACTCAAAAAGATCACTCTGTCTTCTGGTGGTCAACCAGCTTATGAGCAGAACCATACAAAGCTTCCTTTATCATACTCTTACTTCCATAATTCTTGCTTCTTTTAATTTTTTGTTTTCACCTTATCTTTTTAGTATAAGTTTATTGACCAGAGATATATTCCACTACTCTTGTCTCGTGCTTTTTCAACTAGTCATGTTCCCACTGAATTTTCCTTCACTTTATTCGGCTGTAATATAAATCCAATTAAGTCCTTATTGGTAAAGGCAGCTGTCATGTAAAATTGCTTGATAATTACTTTGCATGTATTTTGTATGTGTGTATGTGTGGGCATATGGCATAAACACACAGTCAAAACCGACGAAACAGAGTGTTAATAACCAGATAGAGCGAAATATTAACACAAAGAGGGACTCCGTTGAAAAAGTTGATATTTGGGATACTTGAAGTAGAAGGTTACTACATGTATAATTTACTAAGTATACAAATAGAGCTACGGACAGCACTCTGGTGTTGCCCAACTATATATTGAGATGCATCTTTCCCACTTCTACTTCATGCCCATTCCTCTGTTCTCTCCTACCTTCTCTCTCCTTTTTCCACAGAACCCATTTTCAATTTGAGGCGAACCCAAAGATGGGTTCTGTTTAAATCCTTCTTCTTCACAGCAGATCTCCATTTTTCTCATCGTTTTAACTGGAACTTGGTGAGAGAGTGAGGCAAAAAAAGGGAGGAAAACTTTTTTCCCTTCCCCTGTTGTGCTCTTTCCTTTTGCCTTTTGTTACAGTTAGTATTTGCGGCTAACGCAAATGTCTTCCTCAAGTGTTTGTCAAGGGTTTCGATCATGTCTGGAGCCCTGGCCAGTTGAACCACAAATTCTAAGGCTCAAATTGGCTCCACCAGCGTCCCTCTCACTCTCTGAATCCCAAGAGAAATCCAGCACGAACGATGAAATTTCCACGAGAATGGACAACAATGCTGACAAGGGTGGATGGAGTTTTCTTCTGCCTCTCAAGAAAACTGAGGATCCTCAATCTCAAAACGTCTATGTCCATCCTGCTGTGAAACACTCCTCCTCCAAGCTCACTGGAAAGAGCTTGGAAATGTGCACAGAAAGTCTAGGTTGCGAGACTGGTAGTGATAATGCCAGTGGAAACTTGGACGAATTTTCCTTCCTTTCATCAGAAAATAGCACCACTTGTTTCTCAAGACAAACCTCAGAACCCTGTAGAAGTTACTCTATGTCCAGAAGAATGAAACGTTCAAACAGCTTCCCACCTCCTCTGACTTCTATTACAGATTTGGGTGGGGTTCAAGTGAGGTCTCATCGTGAAGATGGTAGGCTAATCTTGGAAGCTGTAACTACCCCTTCTGTTCAGCCTTGTTTTCGAGCACAGCGGAGTAATGGCAGGCTCACTCTTACCATGTTTCAGACATTCCTTTCTGGTGATGATGAAGAAGAAAAAGTAGCTGAAGATAATGAAGAAGAGAAGGAGAAGGAGGAGGAGAAGGAGGAGGAAGAACAAGAAGTTGCGGGCGTAGATTATGAAGATACTGATGCAGAGGAGTTGGAAGGGTTAAACGATATTGTTGATGATGAAATTGGAAACAGAAAGTTGGCCCGACCAGGAAGGTGCAAGGAAAGTGGGAATAGGAACAACAACGCGATGCCCAATTGGGAGCCATTTTGGGTGGCCACTTGAGCTCTCTCTTCTCTGTGTGTGGCTTTGAGCAGCTGAACTTACTAATCTTATCTTCACTTTCACTTTCATTTTTATTTTTTTCAGTTCCCTGTTAGGATTTCAGTGGTTATTTATGATTGGAAGATTGGTGCTTGGAGTCTCAGAATGTCCTAATTGGTAGTTATTATAGTTATTAGTTATATTGGACACTGTCCTTCTATCCTTTTGTGGCCTTTGTATCCGTTTTATTTTATTCATTCCTCTTTCTTTGGTCCTCTCCGGAAGCATAAAACAATTAAAATTAAAATTTAAAAAAAAAAACAGAGGAGCAAGGCAAAAATAATCTAATTTTTCATTTTTCCTCCTTCATTTATTGCGATTCAATCATAAGCCAACAATGGTGATGCTCGAACATGTTACCGACTAACAAGTGGACCCAAAACCTGAACCACACTGCAATTTATCGTAATATTATTGCCACTGCACATGTTTGATGTTCTTAGTCACATAACGAGGTAAAAGTGCATTATCAGCCATCACCAGCTTCAGCTTCAGGCAGTGTCATTTGGTTCAATCTCCATTAGACTTAAGCTTAAAATCTTGTTTATCTTCAGGCCCACTTTAATGTATCGTGAAAGTGATGATCAAATTCAAAGTCACGTGACTAAATAGGTGAAACAAGCTGAATTGAAGTGTCCCCTGCAACCATGACGTTTGCAGAAACAGAGGGTTGGCACCGGAATCTTTCTCACGGAATTTAATGGTTCATTTTTGCGGTGAGATGTGATAATGCAGGTGGCTTCTTTCCTTTTTATTTCATGTAACAGAAACAGATAACTAAAGAACCAGAAAAGGGGATTGGAATTGAAAGAAATCATGGTCAAGAACAAAGAGGGTTCGGCAATTATGCAAGTTGCATTGTACGGGGTGAGTACCAGTGCCTGGTAACTTTCATAGGGAATATGGACCCCACAAAAGAGTGACATGGACTGACCTCACAACGTAGGATCGATCATCCATGTGCCTCCCTTACCATTCCTCAGAACCATTTCAAGTTGAAGACATGGCCCTGCTGATCTCTCTCCTCTTATTACCTCACTCCCATGTCACATTATATCAAACTCAGGTAATTAAAAAAGGAGTAGAATATTATTATTGGGGGGCCAAAAGGAAAATAAGAGCAACTTGGGAGAAACTTTGGAATATAATTATTGCAAGAACAAGAAGGGGATATGATATGGTTGAGTAGGTGATCGTGGAGTCTGGGCAACCACATGATAAGTTTTTTTGCTGAAACCAAACGTTGTTTGGTTGTTGTTGTTGTGAGCAGTGCACATGCATCACTTTGTCCCAAACATCATGTGCTTGAGGAACCTTTTTGGGGTATACGGGCTACGATGCTGCTTTAAGCACAGATTCTCTCTCACCATATCATATCTCTGTAAGAAACCAAAAATAAATAAATGTGCAGGGCAATCAGGATGTCGCCTAATTTATAATGTCGCATCAAGGTACTGATAATGCCAATTTTCTCTTCCAAAAGATGATTTTGAGCCAAAGCAACTTTGAGATATAGAAAGACCGGGGGGGGGGGGAGTCCTTCAAAATGCTGCTTCATGGGTTTCCTTGTCGACTTACTTCTGCACCTGAGAGAATCAATTCAAGTATATGTTACATTCATAGGCAATATTGTGATCATTCTTCCTTCAGATCTTAACCCATTCCTTGGCCATGAGATATAACAAGAGGTTGGTCTTCTAATTCTTGTTTTTTTAGGGTCTCTCCATGTTAATAAAGAGTAAGGGGTGTTTGGCAATTTAAAGAAAAGTGTTTTTCCACCCCAAATCAGGGTTTTGGCAAGATAATTGCCAAACACCCAAATTTTTTAGAAAATCTTGATTTGACCCAAGCTTAGGTTTGTGAAGAAGCAAGAAATTTTTGCTGTTCAGAGTAAATTTTGGGTTGTTGGAGTAATAATTATGTTGTGTCAAAATACAGCAAATGGTGTATGACGAAAACGCCTGCCAAATTGAATCTCAAGCTTCGCGTCTTCTCTGAAAATGCTTTTGCTTTGCTCTTTCTGAAAAAAATATTTTTAATCTTATAATTTATAAATACATATATACACATACTAACAATTAATTAATTATATTTTTTATGTTTCATTTATTATATTGGCAAATTTAAATTATTAGCAAATTTATCACTTCAAATGAAAATATAAATTACAATTTATTTTTTATATAATTATCATATTAACTTATGTTTTTTGTTGATAATTTGCATATAAAATAGAGCTTCTGCTACTAACTGTCCAAATACTCTCACTTTATCAAAATCACTTTTTTTACATAATCTATTCTTTCAAAAATTTATTCTCAAAATCACTTTTTTTTTTTCAAAAACTATTCTCCAAACTATAGTTTGGATTTATCCAAACACCCTCTATAAGACTATTTTGTACTGACGCTAAAAGACTAGTTCTATAGACTTGAGGCATATCTTAAAATATATTCCAAATATGACATTAGTCATATGTCACTATCGAGTATGGGGAAAGCTTTTTGAGGGTATTAAGGTGTCACTCATTTGTTCCTTAATACGAGGCTTTTTATAAAATTTAATGATACATTTATAACTAACATCTAAAAATGCCCTTGCATCTTGCCCTTTTCATCCTCTCTTCCTAATGGGCTAATATTATTAGTCAAAGGATAATTTTAAAATTTTATAAAAAATGTTAATATTTAACTAACCTTAACTGATTTTTTTAATCACCACAGGAAAAGTAACTAGTAAGACTTTATATATAAAAAGGATTACAGTGATGATGCATTATAAAGGGCATTTGACTTTTGGAGGAATGGGATTGTCATGGAGGTGATGATTTAGCATCCACCAGTAGGTAGCTAACATAATCTGACAAGGATCCAACGTGGTACGACGGTTTCAATCCTGCAATGCCATTACCATATTACACATATCTCTAAGGTGCTGGGATTTAAATACTTTTCTCAGGGGATGCTGCTGATTCGTTCTCCACAGACATCATGGAAACCTGAAAATGTTGACCCCCCAAGAAAAAAGAAAAAATTGAGTCAACCTTCAGTTACATTATTACAAGTCGGAAATTAAATGACTTGAAACAGGAACGTCCCTCTCCTTCTGATTATTATGAACACAAATGAAAAAGGATAATTAATCTCAATCAATGCATATATATCCTATAACAACCCCACGAAAGCGAGCTAGTTTTGTTTGTACCGACCTATTTGTGCACCATCACTAGCAAATGAAAAGGCCTTATCTTTTCGGATCAAAAATGAACCCCAAAATTTTGTCCACCCAACCAAGGACACAGACGAATGAAACACAGCCCCACACTGAGATAAGACAACTCACATAATTGGGATCCAATTTGCCCCTCTAGTCATTTAGTTTTGAAACACACTACTCACATTTCGTATATAGCCCCCCCTCTCTCCTCCCCCTTTTGTCTATATTATTCTGAGTCATATATAGAAAATTGGTAATATCTAGGTACGTGTGTGTGTGTATAAATATATCTGGTGTGGACTTTTCCTTGTCCATGTGTGGATAAAAAGCAAAGACATGCACCACTCAAGCAGGACGCGTTAATGGTGCCGACGAGGGCCTCTCGAGTGCTCAACAGAACATCCTAATTCCAAGACTTTGGATATAGACGAACGTCACAAGCCCCATCCATTTGCTTGCCTAATTTCAAGTACTGAGAATTTAAAGAACACTGAATCACACACACACACTCACAAAATGTAGCCGGCCAAGTTAAAAGCATGGTAGGGTGGTGGGGGTGTTTGGAATTGATAGAAGCGGGTGCATGTAAGCCGCGGAATCATGAACGTGTGGGGAGACAGAGGAGAGCAGGAGTGTGTGATGATGGGGAAAAGAAGATAAGAAGAAGCAGATATGTACAAGGAGGACAGGGCCCACGAAAGAGGGTGGCTGTTAGGGGAAGGCCACCACAGTTCATGGTGCTCCATCGTCTTCATCACCACGAGGAGGAGCTGGCGGTGAGATGGTGGTTGTGGTTGAGGTTCAGCTTTTTAGGCAAAACCGCGTTTTCAACCAGATTTTGATAACCATTCTTTTTGGATACACACCCACACAAGTTGATGATTTTGATTAGTGTTTTGGACTTGGTAAGAAGCAGAGTGACCCCAATAAGTGCCTAAATTAATGGAATTGTATGAGTCTGTGTTGGTTGGTGGATTGGGTTTGGCCGAAGTCCATTTTGATGAGTGGGACTTGTTAATTAATTAAGTAAAAGTTTGGGGTTAAAACCGTAATATTTCATTTTGTTTGAAACTGAACGTTGTTGCAAACTCCCTCCGTGGGCGGCGCGTGGCTTACCCCATTACGCAAACCGCCATCAAGATGGGAGAAGCTAAAATTTTCATTTTGCATGAATTTTTTATCCGAAAAACTTCTAGGATCATGTGAAGACACATAAAAGCATTATTTGGAGGCATAATTTATTTGTAAAAATTTCTAAATTTGATATCTACATTTTGATATAATATATTCTTATTTTTATTAAGTCTGGATCTATTTATTATAAGATCTTCAGTGCATATATTTATATTTTTGTTCATGCATCTAAAAATCGTAAAATAATTATAATAATTCAGAGTAGTTTTGGCATAGGCTAAAATGAATCAAGTTTCTAATAATAACACTAAACAATTCAGGGTATTCTTCTTAATGGTAATTCTGCAGAGGCGCCTGTTTCAGAATATAGACATTTTAGTGAAAATTATTCTCATGAACAAACTTTTGAGAAATATAAACTACTCAGTAAGGGAGATCCGGAAACTGGTCCCAGCAAAATGGTTAATGATCCGAGCAAAATAGAGCCAAATCCCAACAAAGTTGAAATTGGTAAATATGTAGAAGGACGATCCAAACCTAGGATTTTACGACCGACCACGAGGGAACATTATTTCTCTCACCTCCTGGAATTGCTCTTTCTAATACCATTTCCCTTCCCATAAATTCTGCTAAATAGGCCCTAAGAAATGATTTGTAAATCTGCTCTGAACTTAAGCTCCATCAAATTCTCAGATTCCATCACTTGAAGCCCTGTACTGAGGGACGGAAAAATTATCAAGAGTTCGTTCGTCTTTTCAGTTTCA